CAGAGCATTAAATGAACCCAAGTATGAAATCAAATATTCATTTACATGCAAATTTATCATATTGCAGGGTAAGCAAACAAAAAAAAATGTTTCACACTCACAATAAATAAAACAAGGTACATAGATCATTACAAATTCATAGATCATCAGAGCATATTACAGGTAACAGAAACAAAAAGTAAGCAGGCATCCCTCAAGGTAAAACTTTGAGACATGTAATAAATTAAGACACTGAGGTGAAAGATAAAGCAGGAACCTTTGGATCCATGTTATCAGGAAGATGTGCAGAATATTTACTTGGCACAACGACGACGACACCCTTAGACATCCCCAAAGCAATGTAATTGAGATGCACTGCAATGACCTGTGAGGTACCATAATCACGGATAAATGCTTGAGATTTAATAGCTCGACTAATTGGATTATCAGCATTTACATCAAAATATCCCAGAACAGTCGAACCTCTGCGCACACCTTCCAACCTCATAGGCTGCGCAGCTGCCCCCTCCTCCCAATCCTGACCCGTAGAAGCTTGTTTTATCTCAAGTTCTTCCGCTAATTCTAGTTGCTTCTTAACAGGAAATAACTTCTCCTCTGTCTTTGTACTATCAATCTCGCTCTCTAGTTGAGCAATCCTATCCTCAGCAAGCCCAAGCTCCTTAACCTCATCACTTCCAGAGCCCTCATCTCCTCCAGAACCAAATTCATCACTATTTAAAACCAGCAAACTCTTCTCACTTTCCTGTACTTGCTGCGGCCCAAACCCATAATCCTGCTCTTCTTTCTTCTCATTCTCAACTTCTAAAGACAAACCACCTCCCTCATCAACAGAATTCTCATGCAAACTAACCACATTCTTCTCCTCAATCCTTTCTTCCCCTTCATCATCTAACGAATGCCAAATTCTCTTCTCCCCAAAATCCACACTATCTTTCCTCTCCACATCCCAACACTCCGGAATATCATCATTCTTCTCAGAACAAGACACTAACTCCCCATCCTTCTCTAATTCACTACCTAACTTTTCATCATCCTCTCTCTTTTCAATCACCTGTTCGACACTCGAATCCTCGAATTCCGAATCTTCTTGCTTCTCCAGTGAAGCAATCATCTCCCCCTTTCCAACATCCATCACACTGCCAGACTCATCACCATCCTCCCTCTCCTCAATCACTTCTCCAACAACCTCACTTACATTGCCATCACCATCACAACCCTCGGATTTCACATCATCCCTAACAAACCCTAACAATTCATCACCATCCGACACCTTCCCCTCCAAACTCACACTCAAAGCTCTCCTCGACTTAATCACCGCAGCACGAGGCATCCGAACATTCCTCGATGCCGCAGCAGCAGCCGCAAACGCCGCCCCAGGCTTCCTACTAACTCCGCCGCCGAAAATCGACGAATTCCGCACATTCTGCGGCGGAATCGGCGGTTTCCTACTAGAATTTTCAGCAAATTCATCGGATTTTAACCTTTGTATTAAACTATACCTACTTTGCGTCGAATTCAAGAGTTTATTGTCGGAATTTAGGGTTTTAGTTTGAGAAACAGAAGATGATACCGAAATTGCGTCGTGATCGGAATCCGAAGAAGAATCGTTGAGGATGTCGTCAATTGAACAATGAAGAATGTCAGAATTTCGATTGTCTCCGGCGTCGTCTTCGTCGGAGGAGGCGGCGTTGTGTCGCCGGAGAAATGAGTCGAGGTCGAGTTCCTCTATCTCCGGCGGAGATTGTGAGGTGGCTGAATAATTAGTCATGTAGAAAAAATTAAAGGTTTATTATTGTTATGGTAGTTCATAAGAATCATAACAGAAGATGAAATTGAAGAATTATTGAATGATAGATGAGATCAATTGCAGAACTATTGAGGAGTTTATTATAGTTTAGGAGCAAAGAAAAATAGTAGTATAATTAAAAACAAAAAATAAAGAGAAATGGAGATGCGGGGTATCGATCCCCGTACCTCTCGCATGCTAAGCGAGCGCTCTACCATCTGATCTACATCCCCAATTGATGTAATATGAAGTATTTTACATATTAACTACTCCTATTCTTTACTATACCCCTAGATTCCTCCTACTCCGTACATTTTTTGCTCAAAAATTGAATGCAGTCCAACAACAACAATATTTACAATGAATAAATTATAATGAGAAGGGTCTTATTGGATCGGAACGGGATCTCTTATATATACACCCGATTTGGGGTAGCGGGTTAGGTCCTTTGGAAATGAAGGGTGAGGTAAGGTCATACGGGAATCCCACCTCAAAGTGCTTTTAGTGGGAGTTTGATCGAAATGAAAATTAAACTTCCGAGCTAGTATACTTTAAACATATACAACTATATTGACTTTCCACATTATTTTTCCTATGTATCGATCTATCACACTCTTAGGATAGTTGTTAGGACAATATTAGACATGCACTAGTCCCCCACCCCCAATTCTCATGACGTAAGATCACATCTAACTCCAACAAAATCAAATCATTGCAATTACCGGCCGCTTCAACGTCTTTCATGTACATAGATAATGGAAACTACAAATTACAAAGGAGGAGAAGAATTCAATTCATGATCAAGTGATGGTCGAATTATTATTTCCATACACTAAAAGTCGAGCTTAAGCAAATTACGTTGATCATTACCCAAGAATAAGTCTACATTCGAATGACAATAAATAGATTGGAGGAGGAAGTAGATCAAAAGGCAAGATGATGAAAAAAAGGAAGGAGAGATTTTATGTTTTTCTATCAAACATGTTTTTGAGTATGAGTTAGATCACGTTTGAAAAAAAAGAAAAAAAAAATTGAGTACGAGTTTGATCACGTTTGGAAAAAATAATATTAATAATAATAAAACAGGGCCCAACCGGGTTCGAACCGGTGACCTCTTGATCTGCAGTCAAATGCTCTACCACTGAGCTATGGACCCACTTGTTATTAAATTAATTAAAATTTAACATTTAATATATTGTCTTGCAAGCACTACATCTTGCATTCGATCTATGATCATAATACGCCAATGTTTTTATTTTTTTTGTCTCAAACGGAGTAAAACTAAAACATCTTTCTTCAAAATATTTTTGAATTCGATAGACTAAATGATTTGCTTTTTTTTTTTCCATAATAAATATTGTGTAGGATGACATTCCAACTTCCCTAAATTCCTCATTATTTTTTCATCAATATTTAATTACAATTTTTTGGTCATAAAAAAGTTACGACTTCACGAATAGTAGTTATCATTAATGCATTATTTTTTATATATATAACCATCTATAGGTTTATATAACTTTTTAAAACTATCATATTTACAGAAAATATACAAGTAGAATATAGATGAATCTTAAAAGGGATTGTGATGAAATTTTGTGACAAAGAGTACGAATAATTTTGGAAAAAAAAAAAAAAAAAAACCTCTTGTAATAGGAGCCTTGAGGGGAAATGACTTTTCTAAACTATATTTACTTCACCTGTTCCCTTTTAGGTGTAACGTTTTAACTATCATGTTTGTCATTGCTTAATTTTAACCCCCTTTATCCTAACTATTGACAAGTTAAAAAAATATTGTAAAAATATAAATTGAGTTGTATTTGATTAATTAGATCTCTTTCAACTATATTTTGTCCAACATATAAATCAACAATAATAGTTAAAGTGAGCATATAATGTAAATTAAAGTTTAAACATGGTAATAAAAAAATATAGTAAATAATGTAATTGTAATTGAAAGAGCGAGAATAGATGAAGTACATATTTAATACCCTTTACCATGTTTTCTCAAGCATATATATAATACAAGTAATAAATTATGCATGTATATTTATTGGTCAAATAAATAACAAAGTACCAAGCAAAGCTTAGTGGAGTTAGTGAGATCAAACTTGTGACCTCACTAACTACATTTGTTTGGGAGTAGGGGGATTCCCTTACCTCCCCCCTCCACTCTCAAACACTTGGTGAAATTAAATCAATTAGGCCAGTTAACTCTCGTGACTGACTAACAATTGATACTTTTGGCAACTTACCTCGTGTTTTCAAATAGAGCCAAAATATCATATTTCCCCTCCTTTTATTTCTAAGTTAAATTTTTTGATTTTTTGCACTATTCGCTCCTAATTCATTTTGACTAGTGTTAGTAATTTATATATAAGGAAAATATAGTCTTGTATTGTTGGAATCTTCTCAATAAATTTTAATTAATATACAATTGTCATAATTTTTTTTACTTATTGATTATTAGAGATATTGTTCGTTAAGTTTTGTATTGACATACGTGCCCAAAAAAATCATTTTACTAAAGAAAATTTGGAGGAAGTAACTATGAAGTGTTGTTTATTTTTATTTTTAAATTTATATATTAATAAGATTGGTGGAAGGAAAATATATAAGATGAATACATATGGATACGATGTTTACGAAACAAAGAAAATGTGGAGTATAATATTTTAAATTGCTCCCTCCACTTTAGAATAATTCAAAAAAATACTCCATAATAGTTAAGGACCTTAAAAATAATTATTTTAATGTATAGTGAAGTTTGCGACTATAATTTATGACGTAAACAAAAGAAATAAAATAAAAAAAAATTAAAAAAAACACATAAGAGTGAGAAAAGTTTGTGAGCTATAATGAGGTATTGTTTGGTTGATATGGTTATTTCCCATAGTCAATTGTATTTCATTGGATTTAAATTCTCACATTCAATTTCTTAGGAATTTGCAAATTATGGGAACTAGGTTAAACCCCCGTGCAATAGATGCACGATTGTTAAATAAATATAATGAAACCAAATTATAAAAATATAAGTGTTCGACGCACCAGTTATTCAAGTATGAAGTATATGACCACATATAATAGTTATAATTAGGGGTGAGCAAAGACCTAGGGTACCCGGTATTGGATCCGGAACTGGTTAGGATCCGCCAGGTCCGGACCCAGAACTGGTCTCACCGGTTTCGGGACCGGGTCCAAAATGTCGGACCCGGTTGTAACCGGTTTCGGTTCCAAATCCTAAAATTTTGGACCCGGTACCCAGTGGGTACCCGGTTAGATATGATAAATATATTTATCAGTTAGTGGCTCTACTTCCCTGCACGTTATCCATCTCTTCTCTGTGTGTGTTTGCAGAAATTACCAACAAACACCTTTCCCCCGTTTTCTCTCTCCTCCTTTTCAACATGCCATCTTCTTCTTCTTTCTTTTACCATGATAAATTTCATTCCTTTTCTATTAAATTTCCCAACTAAAAAAAAGAGGGGGAAATTAATCCTAAATCAAATCAAATTAAAACACAAAAAAAAATTAAAAAAAAAAAAAAAAAAAAAACCGAAGTACCTAGTTTAGTGAAATTCTTCCTTTACTCTTTCTCTCCATACTTAAATCTTTCATATTGAATAAAGTCTAAGATATGGAAGATCACAGCCCATCTTTCGTTCATCTCGTGCGGGTCTTTAGGTATTTTTCCCCATTTTCTCTGTTTTTTTTTTTTTGGGGGGGGGGAGGGGGGGAGGTTTATCATGCAATTTTTGTAGATCTATGCTTGTATATTCAAAGTTCAAGGAATTGTGCTTGTAGGGTGTTGTTCAAATCACCGAAATTGTGTTTCGATTGTGTTACATTATATGATTCTTATAAGATTAGCCGATGGAATTTCTGGGTTTTTGAATTAGATTTTGAAATTTTGTATGTTTTCAGAAATTAATTTTGTAGTTAAAGTTGTATTGCAATTTAGTTTTAACTTTGGGAAATAATTGAAATAAGAACTGGGTACCCGATCTTGGAACCGGTTCCCACCAGTTCCGCCACTACGGGACCCGGTTACAACCAGTTCCAGTTCTGGTTTTAAAATCTCGGACCCGATTATAACCATTAAAACTGACCGGGTACCCAGTTTTGCTCACCCCTAGTTATAATGAACAATATAATATTTTAAAATGTTTAGTTTAGATTTTATGTAAAGCAAATGTCATTATTTAGATACAATTCTTCATTATGGTAATAATATTATTTATTTATTTTTTAAAAGTAAATGCTCTTGGAGGGAAATTTTTTAATATGACGTTGTCAAGTGTCACTTTTATTCGCGTTTAGTAATATGTAATAGATGTTTTGTTTAGATTTTATGTAAAGCAAATGTCATTATTTAGATACAATCCTTCGTTATGGTAATAATATATATATATATTTTTTAAGTAAATACTCTTGGAGGGAAAATTTTTAATATGATGTTGTCAAGTGTCGCTTTTATTCGCCTTTAGTAATATGTGATAGATAGATAGATAGATTTTGAGTTACCAAGGGGGCCTTGGTAATTTAATGCCTACATTTTGTATGAATTGGAAATTCACATGAATTTGCAATTTCTATATTTTTCACTTTCTATAGCCAACTAAACAAACTCCCTATTTCTAAATTTCCATGATTTTTCAATTCCCCCATTTTTTTTTCTTCTGTTTAAACAAACAAGACCTGAATATGATAAATTCAATTTAATAATTACTACTAGTGTGAATGTATGATTTTATATATTTATTTATTTATTCATAATTAAAAGTACTGTAACATGATTATTTGATAAACAACTGAAAAAATGTGTTAATTACTCTAAAAAGGAAATATTATGTGGAATACTGGCTAGCAAGTAGCAAGCCTCCCAAAGTCGTAGATGTGTTGTACTAGGGTGAGGATTTCTTGGTCTCTACCTAGTTGCGTCCTCTTGGACTCTACCTACCGACACTTTTGGCGGTATTCGTTTGGTATTGTTTTTAATGTCGTTGGTATACCAACAACAACCAAGACAAGCCTAGTTGGTATTCTTCTTTGATACCAACGAACTCCTAATTGGTATTTCTTTTGATACTAACGAACCTTTATATAATACTATTTATATATTAATATCAATTAATGTTCACTCGTTTTTCGATTTATGACTTTTAACGATATAGTTATCACAACTCTATTATTTATATATCGAAATAAATTATCTTAACAGTTTAACAACCCACCATACTTCGCAATAATAATTCTTTAACTAGAGAGTTTTGACCAATACCTAAACTTAGTCGACAATGGAACCTCGGAGCTTCCAGCTTTACCAAGGTAGCTAACCCAACCCTGTCTTCCTTAGATCAAGCATAACACAGATCTAATTCGTTTCCTACCTTAGACCGTAATCTCTAATCAAACAATTTGTACTGTGTTTATGATGGAACTTCTTAAACAAAAGGATAACTCATTTGATATATAAGGTTCAAGGGAATAACGTTCCCTTCTTAAACAAAACTTTTATTTAATTTGAAAACATTACAACACTCATACATTACACAAACTAATTGAAAGCATAAACAGATATAAGCTGAACTAGAGCTTTCTCTACTTTAAGAGAGATGGAGAACTAATCTGTCTTTTAAGGTGAGTATTTTCCTCTAGAGCCTTCACGTCTTTGCCTAATGCCCTTTATATGGGGGAAGGCTCACAAAGGTCACCGACACTTTCTATGGCTTACAGAAAACCATGACTCAGCAAGTGAATATCGTTCATTGCCTTTCTAAAGATACCCTAAAACAAATAAAACGTGCTACAACAGTGAAAGTAGAATACATTATTGTTGGTGTAGGCTCAGGATTCCATTATCTCGTCCATTATCATATCTTGCAGACCACCTTCACTGTCCTTATTGTCTTCATAATGGACATACATTTGGTTGTCTTCTTCTATACTGAGATCCATCACACATTTGGCAACATAGGATTCATCCCATGTGACAAAGACCTCCAATAAGTGCTCTTTTCCCTCTAAGGATAAATATCTCCCAGCTTCAACTTGTTCAACATAATCATACACTGATTCACCAATGTAATACTCCTTCTTCAAGTAATTTCTTAACCATTCTGGTGCTACTATTGTAGTATTCCCCACATGTATTATGATCGGTGGTTCTTCCTTTATTCTATGAACTGGTTAAGATACTGAGCAATATAGAAAAATCCATAAGCTCTTGCCTCCGTAGGATCTTTTACTCGTCTCTGCTGGATACAGATTGGATTTTTGACTTTGTGATGAACATCTTCAAACATGATCAGGAAATGTGAAGAGCTAACTTTTCCTTCAACCATTTCGATGTTTGCCCTTTGCACTTGGACTTGTTCAACTCTTCCTTTGTATCGTGTTGCATCGTAAATTCTTCTAAATACATACCTCTGGAATTTTGTGAGTTTCTCAAAGAAAGTAGTATTATTATCAAGAAATGGTACAATGCTATGAACCATTCCATAATCTCAACCTCTGTAGTGCTCCGCCACATATGGTGTCATCCATTCCAGAGAATGTGGATGAATTAACACAATACCTACTCTGGAATTATTGTTGAACATTATTCTACTCCCCCATGAATCATAAACATCATACAACTTGTATAACCTTGATACAACTAAATTGTACCAGAATATAAAATCATTATCTTTTATTTTGTTTAGTATTATATCCTAAATATCAGGAATGAGTCGCAGGATAATGACCATTACTTCGTACATTAGGAACCTTCGAACTGCTACATGACAACTTTTAATCAAACCATCTCGAGATCTATTTTTTGATGAAATAATCATGGCCCCCATCGAGGCCCAAATGGAGGGTGAAACCCGCTCCATTGCTATATTAGTTTCCTCAATAAGAGTTTTTCTCTCTACCTCCATCTTTCTAGTTGATGGGCAGGAGGTTTTCCTGATGTCTTGTGCTTCTTCGTCATTGGCTAATTTTTTGGTCAAGCTATCTGCCAAAGAATTCTTCGATCCCTGTATATGTTCAACAGTAAAAGAGAATTGGTTAAGCCATAATTGCCAACGCAGGAGTCTCCCTTGCGCTTGCATATTAGACAAATTCTTTTTAACAAAACCAAGTATGCCTTTGCAATTTGTTCTTATTAAGATGTTTAGGGGCTAAGAAGATTAAGAACTTCTCGATCCCTCTAATGACTGCAAGAATTTCCTTTTGCATTGTAGGATAATTTAACTCAGCTTTATTAAAACTTCCATTGCAGAATCTTTCTCCTTCTTTGATTTTTAACACAGCACTCCAGTGCGCTCATTACTAGCATCTGTTTCAAGGATTAAATCATCTTCACTAGTAGGTAGTGTTAGTACAGACATAACTTTACACATAGCTTTTAAATCTTAAACAACTTTCGAATCACTTTCCTTCCAATTCCAAGTTATTTCTTTCTTGAGTTTATGTTGTAATGGTTTTCTTAACAAAGCAAGATTTTCTATGAAATCAAAAGCATAGGTTAAACATCCTAGAAATCTTTCCAATTGTTTTCTATCCTCAATTTTATATGGGAATTTTTCAAGCTTTTTCAGGATATGTTTTTGCAAGATTATTTGTCCTGCTTTAATTTCCAATCCATGAAACTCAATTTCTTGTCTAGCATAAACACATTTATCTTTTCCAAGGATTATACCATGCTCAACACTTTTTTTAGTTACAGCTTTAAGATCATTCTTATGTTGTTCTAAATCTTTTGAGAATATTAGAATATCATCTATGTAAACCAAACAACAATGATTAAGCTCGCTGAAAATATTATCCATTCTTCTTTGAAATATCTGTGGAGCATTTTTTTAATCCAAAAGGCATTACTAACCATTCATAATGCCCTTGAGGAGCACTAAATGCAGTTAATGGAATGCTTTCGTCTTCCATTTTAATTTGCGAGTAACCACTCTTACAATCCATCTTAGAAAACCATGTGGCTCTTTGTATTCCATTAAATAACACAGTTTTATTAGGAATGTAATATCCATCAAAAACAGTATTGTCATTTAGCTGTTTATAATTAATGATCATTCTAGCTTTACCTCTTTTTTCTTCTGCATGATTCCTTACCATGCATGCTGGACTATTATGAGGACTCTTGCTATTCCTGATTAATTTCTTATTCAACAATTCTTTTATTTGTTCATCAAATTCTAATATATCTTGATAGGTATAAACCATCTGTCTTACTCTAATAATCTTATTCGGATTTGTTAGAGTTATCTTAGCAAATGCTTTATCCTTTTCCCAATTTTCTAATGGATTTGTTGAATATAAGTTTTCACATATTTTTTCTTGTTGCTTATCTATCCGATCTATTAATGATGATTCACACCCTGAAATTCTAAGTGCAACCTCTCGTTCACTAGTGGAAAAAATGCTATTAGCAGCGCCCTATTAGTAATTGACGTTATATACGTTAGTTACTAAAACACTAATTGCAACTGACCAAAATAATGTCAGTTACAAATACTACATCATTAGCAACTGGTGTAGATATGAGCGTTGCTAATAATTAGTGTGCAAAAATTAAAATTTATATTAGCAACTGGCCTATTTAACGCCAGTTGCAAATATAATGCCATTTGTAACTGGCGTAGAAATGCCCGCTACTAACACTAGGTGAAATAAAAATTGACCAAAATAATTGTAATTGACCCTAAAAGTGCCCGCTACTAAAGATTTTTTAAGCTGTAGTTTTCGCACAGCCTCACTCCATTTTCTCTCCTCTCTCAGTCCTTTTCTTCGATATACCCGCCTCTCCTCCATTTTATCTCTCCTCTCTCCTCCATTTTTTCGTACAGCCTCGCTCAGCTCCACTTTCGCTCTCCTCCATTTCCCCACAACTTCACTCTCCTCCATTTTTGCACAGCTTCGCTCCCCTCACAAGAAAACCCTAGAACTGATTGGTAATTTCTTGATTTATTAATTATTGTTATTGTTAACATTAGATTTGTTCTTCGTGTTTTTTTTTTTTTTTTTGTTTTTCGCCCAACCCTAGAACTGATTTTCGCTCAACCTTTCCGGCGATGTTGGTGCGTGAGAACTGGTAAGGTGAGGTGGCCGCTGATGGTGTTGATGGTAAGAGCTGCTGGTGTCAAATTTTTAATAAAATTGACGTTTTTTGTTTGATTCAATTGAATTCGATTGTGTTAAGTTTGTTTCCCTTTTTTTTTAATAGAATTGTGTCGTTTCTCATGTTACTTCAATACGGGTGTAACGGTGATGGATCTACATCAATGGAGGGTGGGAAATTATCGAACTGAAAAGTAAAGAGAGATAATCGACTGAAGAAAACAACAGCAATTAAACAAATAATGTCATCAAAATTACATGAAATTGAGTTGATCGTACTAGCAAGCAATGATGAGATTGTAGAATTAATTTGTAATCAATGATTTTTGGAGAAATTTTACCTTAATCAGTTGTTTAGAGGAGTTTTTTCTAGAGAGAGAAAGGGAGGATAATGGATTGAGGAAGAAGAGCAAATAAGAGCAGAAATGCCAGAAATTTATAGTAGAGCTGACGAGCTGTAGTAGCTCTGTTTTCCCCAAGACAACAGGTTCTTTGCTCAATGATTAAAATCAATAAGCTTAAAATTGAGTAAGTGGTTTAATTGTGTGATTGAATAATTTTCAATAAGCTTAATTTTTCATCTGCAAATGTTTCATTGGATTCACTGGTTATTGGTGTTTTTATTTTTTTATTTTTTTTTAATTTTTTTTTTCTTTTTTTTTTTGTGGGAAAATGATTTAATTTTTGGTGGGTTTGTTGGGGTATTGAATTAATTTTTAGTAATGTTAGGTTGGTAAAAAAAATTGGGGTTTAATTTTTCAAAGGTATGGTCTATGAATTTGCATTGTGTGCATATAACTTGAAATGCTGATGTTTTGACCAAATGGGTTTGCCTTTAAGCTCATTATAAATCTTGGGTTTATTTCCTTTTTCTTAATTTTTTGTTCAATATTTGAGTAATGGATAAATGGTATATCTCATAGTTGTGTGCATACACTAATTTGAGATTTAAGCTATAATGTTCTGTCATTGGCGGGGATACTTTCGCTGTCGTGTAGGCGGTATGTTCTGTTACATTGGGTAGTGCTGAATGTGAGCTGACCTCCCTGGGCCATTTGCTAGTCACGAGCCGAATTGGGTTGTTATTGCTTAATGTGTGCTATGTCCATGGAGGCTATTTTGATCCAGATTTTGTGTTGTTTGTCAGAGTTAATTTTGGGTGGAATTGTACAGCCAGTTGAGGCCTATTTCAGAGTTGAGGCTTGGCAACGTTTTTCACGCTGCCAATATCATTTCCAGGTGGGTCTTTTCTTTGAAATCTTAATTCTTTTGAGTGATTGTGCTCCATGTCATTGATATACTGTTAACTTTGATATGTAATTTTTGATGATGAGAGGCTCACTTATACCTGTTTTATATGTTAAGTATTCGTTTTTAAGATTTTTTGCTTGATTACGGTCATTAGCCACTAAGCTAGAAGCTTCTGTTTTAATAGATGCACTGCAGTGTGTGTGTCATTCTTTGCTGGCTTTACAGCTTAGTGATTTATTCTAAAATACAATGTTTATGAATTTGGCTAGTGATGGATATGCTATGGCTTTCGCCCTAAAATACATTGTATTGCCAGCAGTGATTATGAGGGATTGTAAATATTTGGGACATTGCTACTAATCAGGTGGTATTAATAGTTCTAATAAGCTGTTTGTCCCATTAAGCTTGTTCTACATTCTAAGGCTACTGGTTTGGTTTTACTTTGACTTTTGTCAGTAATGCTAACTTCCCTGATAACGGGCTTGGAGTGTGGATTTTTCGCGTACTGAACCTTCACTGATGGTATCTGGTGGGGATGACTACAAGGTATATAAAGCTAACCTGTCTTTTGGACTACACTTTTGATGATACTGCATATGTATCTTACATACATAGGGCTTCCTTTTCACAAGAAATTGAATGAAAGATTTCTTACCAAAACCCTAGGATTGCAGATACCCTAACTTGAAGAGATCTGATCTACAAGAGGGGTTCGGAAAGGTTAACAAGCAGACTGATAACTCCATCATTGAGCAGGTAAATATCAGTTTGGTTCCTTTTTTTTTTTTTTTTTTTTCTTCTCCTGATAATTAAATGATTTTATTGGGTGTAGATGGAACGCATCTTTTTGGAATTACCAAACTTTGAGAAATTACATTTGTTGTTGAGAAATTGCTTTTTCTTTTGTGTTTAATTTCATCTTATCTAGTTAAGGTATATGTGGGTGTATGTATTGATGTTGTGTTGTTGGGTTTCATAGTAAAAATCATTGTATATTTCTCTCATTAAAAATCGAAAATCAAGTATCTAGGTTCTTTCTCTTTAGATTTTTGTGCGTTTATTTCTTGATTTTTAATTATGTTTAGATGAATATCTAATCTATTGCTGTTTATTGTAGTTTTTGGAGGAAAATGCATGGCTAATTTGGTTTATTTGAGTTGTTCGTGCTGCTGCTCTTTGCTGCTTATAAGTGTTGTTCCCGGGCGCTTTTGTTGTTGTGTTTCTGTAGAAGCCTTGTAATTTTTTTTATTTGTAATTAATGTATACTGCATAATTAACATAAAATTTGTCATAAAGAGTATATGATATAATTTGTATATCAATTTCACAAAATTGCAATTTCTTTTTTTATTTAAAGAAATTAGGGAAATTCTACATGGTGACCCTAAGTTTCGACCTAATCTATACGGTGACATACTAAACTTTTCTATTCTACGCTATGACACTAAGTTTTCGCTTATTCTATGCAGTGACCAAGTTAAGGTTTTAAGCTTCCTTCTAATCTCGTTTTCTTACTCAACAGCGAACCCTCGATTTTGACGCTCTAATCATCTCTAAACCTTCCCTCCAGCTCCTCCAATCACAATTCTCGGCGCCGCCATCGCAACCTCCTTTTTACGAATTGAGTCTACAAAACCTTCATTCTCGAATTGAATAGCAGATAAACCCTAACTTATCTGCAATTGAAATCAAAGCGTGAAATTAAGCGCATTTGTCGATTTAAGCGTAAATTGAGGAGGAGAAACCCTAAATATTTGGGGATCAATTGAAGACAAAAGAGAGGAAGAGAATGAGATGAAATGGGAGTACGAGTACACAATTTCATCTTCATGGTTTGTATTGCCTTTTGACGACTGTCAAAGCCGCAATGTGTGTGAGTATCACGATGATACGCCCCGTGATCAGTTGATCGTTCTTGGACCTCACGGTAAATTTATGGAACGCAGGGCTGCTAATGCTATCACACACACCCCAAACTCCGTCACAGATATGTATCCCTTTGCGGCTGAAGCCCTTGCCCGCCAAGAGACTAACAGGCTCACCTCGCTTTCCTTGGACTCCCTCTTATTTCCTACTGATACGGCTTTTAATTACCTTGTTTCAGTCAAGGATAACAAACATATCTCACTGTCAGATCTTCTAGGCAAGAACGTCATCGAAGCTGCAATGGACTTTGTTTCGGGGTTTTCTGATGTCCTGCGGGAGAGTTACAATTCCGAGACTGGAACCGGACGCCTGTACCTGCAAAATAACGGAGACTCCTGAGAGCTCCGCCTCCAACGGTCAAGTTAGTACCTGATTAAGGAGTAATTAATACGGAAATTAAAGTAATAAGGTCTCTCTAGGTGAGAGTGCTTAGTGTTGGTAATCTGCTTTGTTAGCGAGATCAGCCGGTTATTACTGTGTGTAATTAATGTGTTTTTTTTTATCCCCCTCTTAATGAGGATTAAGGGAGGTATTTATAACCTTGGGAAACGTGCCCATCCTAGGTTTAAGGTAAACCTAGGGCTGATCGGGCCTCTAGACTGGATTGGGCCTTGATGGCCGGTTTTCCCATTTGGCATGGGTGGACACGTGGCGTGCCTTGATTGGTCCGTAGAGGACGTATCTGTGATTGACACGTGGCAAGCTCCTATTGGCCTACGTGAAAGACACGTGGCGGAACCTGGTTGGTCCACTTGTCAGACGGTGATTGGTGGATGAAAATCCCCTAATCATTTGCCCCTCACAGGTGGCACGTGACTGGTCACGTGTCGCCTGTGACAGGTGTCGCACGGTGACAGGCGACAACCTGCTACAGGTGTCACCTTGCGAACGGCCGAGAGATTTTCCCGCCCAAATTTTTGAATTTGTAAGCGACCCTTCGCCTTCTCACTTTGCCTATATAAGGAAGTGCTGACTTCGGTCATTTTCACATTTGAGAACTTTGCGAGAACATTCGGACCCCTGAACTTGCTCTGACATTTCGGACCTTTTCTGCCTACCGCCTGTTCTGACAAGCCGACTGCACCGGATTTCCAGAACTTCATCAACCGTCACTCGTTCAGGTAACTCAGTTCTCTTACTCTTAATTTTCTTTTTATTTTTTGAAATGGCACCACGGAAGCACACGACACGACCTAAGTTAGTGATCAGCCGGTCACCGGGGACGGCTGAATCTAGGACTAGGAGTGCCGCCTGCCCTTTTCTGGACCCATCTTTGCCCTTTATACAAAGTCCGACTGTATCTGTGTCTATGCAGAACGTGATGGCCAGAACGAAACAGACTGCTATGATATCAAACTCAGACGGCTCCTCCCAAAGGGTGCTCCTTAGTGAAACATCTGACCAGGCGCCAGATGTAGAATTGAAACGAGGCGACTGCCAAGCCGACAGTTCTGAAAGAGGGGCCAAGGTGGTCCCTTCACATCTTACCGTTGACATGTCTAATTTTCCTCCTGCCCCTTCTAAGGGAGAGGAGGCGGGCCCCTCTGGGAGTGGGGAGGAGTCGTCCTCTTCGGACTCATCAGAGGATGAGTCCGAGTCCAGCTCTTCTGGCCACAGTTCTCCAGGCTCAGAAGAAAAACATAGCCGCCTACAAGAGGCGAGACTTTCTCACGCAGTTGAGAAGGGGGACAATTGGGCGGAGCCGTCCGCCTCTTACAGAGAGGAAAACGCCCCCTACTACTGCAAGGTACCCCGGGGCCGGATCGCAACCATGCAAGACAACGTGGCGAGCTTTATTGCCAACCACAGAATGGGCCCGGAATTTTTACTGTTCGTGCCGGATCCAGAAGACACTGTCGTCTGGCCGGCTGGTACCAGCTATGATGACGGCTGCTTTGGCTGCTATGTGGCGGCCATCAAAGCTGGACTGCGCTTCCCATTACATCCGGCTGTTCAGCGGATTTTAGATGGGTATGATTTGGGGTTATGGCAGTTAGCCCCCAACTCTTGGGTAAACGTACTCGGCTATGTGGCCGGGTGCGAAATGTACGGGGTGGAGCCAAGCTTTGAGGCTTTCGCCCACATGAACTATCTCAGCCGGACCCCTAAGTCGGGAGGTACCGGCTGGTATCAATTAACGAGCCATAGGGGTTACCTCATGACGAGAGGTAAAGCGAACAAATGGAAGGATTGGCGGAACACCTTCCTTATCATTGAGGGTTCAGACACGGAGCTGAACCAACGTTTTAACAAGTGGAATAGGGATCCGCCAGCATGCCGCCTGTTCCCCCAAAGGCTAAAAGAGAGATCCTAGACAAAGGACTCTTCAAAGTAGAGACTAGGGTGAACCCTACGTCAGGGGTACGAGAGCAAGTACCCCTAAACTGCGTCCCGAGCTTCAAGTGGCTCTATGACGAGTACTTTTTGGCCGCCTGTGGCCTCAGCAGTCGGTGCTCTAGAGGTAGCCGGCCTGACAAATACTCTGTTTTTTCACGCCTTGTTTACTTGGGATTTTTACTAACTTTGCTGTTTATTTCTTGCAGCTGACGCCATGAGTAAAATAACAGCATCCAAGACTGCGGCGGCCATGTTGCGGGCCTCGCTCATGCAACAGTCTTATGCCGACTCCCCCAACAAGGGGGCACCCTTGGTAAGCTTCGAAAACTCTTCCTCTTTTAGTTGTCTTATGCATATACTAACTCTTTTTGTTTTCAGTCTGGCACTCCAAGGGCTTCTTCCTCGCAACAGCCGGACCCCAAGGCCCGGAGGACGACTGTTGCAAGCTCTCCTGGGTCTTCCAGGAAAACTGTGGCGGCTGAGAAGCAGCCGGCCACTTCTTCAAAAACCCCGGCGGGGCCGCCTAGAAGTATGGACCCTCACTTGTAAAAACTCACTCTTGCTTCCTTCTTGACTAGGTCTAACTTGTTTTTCCTTTCGCTTAATGCAGCCGGCCCTCAGGGGCTTGACTTGGTTGAGGTAGCCAAGTCCATGGTTAAAGTAGTTCCTCCATCTGAAAGGGAGGCGGTCCGGGGTGCCGGCACCCTTGACCTTGATGGGATTTCAGGGATCCTTGCTGAGGTATACTTAGCATATTTTTGAGTTTTTGAGTTCCAGGACGCCTGTTATCTTTTTTGTTTGGAAGCTGACGCCTGTTTTTCTTTGTACTTAGGCCCTGCTCCGAGTCAACAGCCTTCGCAAGCCGATTGATCGGAAAAACAAAGAGGTAAAGGCCGCAAAAGCTATGGCCGCCTCCAGCTGTGATAAGGCAATGTTTCAAATTGCCCAAAATGAAGTACTGACCATTGATCTTCTTTATTATCAGGCGCAGGCTACCGCCGCTGTTCGGGCTCAGTTAGAGGCGGCCCAAAAGAAGGTTGACGAGCTGGAGGCGACCGTCACAAACCTTAAGGCCGAGCTGAAGCCTCTTCGCCAAAAAATGCACTCTTACGAAGCCATGGAGAAATCTTTGGCCAACGTAAAAGAACGCCTGGTGAACCAAGAGAAGAGTCTTACCCAAGAGCTCTCGGAAAAGGCCGAGCAAGAGAAGAAAGAGCTCGTCCGGGAGATGGTGGAAGACTCCGCTCAAATCCAGCGCATGACCTGGGAACGACTGTTCCCCAGTGCCGACTTTGCCTCCTGGGAAAGAACGTACCGCCAGTGTTCGGAAACATATAATCAACAGATCCTGGCGGCTGCTGAAGAAGAGGCATTGGAAGGTGCGTTGGAGGAGGAAGAGCCGGTTGTGGCGCTTGTGCCACTTGGGGGTAAGGCATCAAAAGAGGGTGCAGCTAAAGCCGAGTCCAGCAAGAAGAGTGCTGACCAGGCGGCAGCTGCTGATACTGAACTGCCCCCTTAAGCTTTAAGTATTTTTTCCCCGGTCTGCGTGCCGTTTGCTTTGTAATTACCCGGCCAGGGGGCCGGGGTTTTGAATATTCTGCTGGTCCTTAATGACCGGCTCATTTTTAATCAAATTTTTGTTTTGGTTCAAATTTGTCTAAGTATTCCATATCTAATATCCCTTTGTTCACTAGACCGACTGTTGTGTATGGCCGAACGTTAAGACAGGTACAAATAGTAAGTATGCCGCCTATGCCCCTGGACGACTGGTTGTCTGTTTCCAGGATAGACGATCAGTCGGCCACTTATTCAATCGGTATTCGAACTATTTATTCAATTGGTCTGACCAAGTAAATAGTATTACCTAGTCGTCAAGGAATTAAGTAGGATAACAAGCGGCGGGTGCCGGTTGTTTCCCTTTATTGCCAATGTTGGCTTTTGACTCGTAATTTGTTAACCTAGCAAGAGTAGTGGTTGAGAGCCCCTGTTTATTAAAAACAGGTGGACGACTCCAACCTTTTAGGTTCCATACCAAGTTTGAAGGAGTGACTATGAGTTA